ACACACACACACACACACACACACACACACACACACACACACACACACACACACACACACACACACACACACGGGATCTTATCAGGTAATTTATCAGAGTGAGGCCACAAGAAGGAATTGTGTTGAAATGTAACTCCTGGATTCTGAAGCAACAAACAGCGACCTGTACTCGGTAAACTCACAAGCAGAAAATAATTCCATGCATGTGATAAAACATCTGTGCCTTCTTCACAAGTAAAACCTTCCACAAGCAAGCTGTGTGCACGAGTCCTGCACTAGACAGTGTGACCTACAGAGCAGACCTCTGCATGTTGCCTTCTCTGATATAAACCCAGCAATACTAAGTCTTTACATCATTCTTCAGGGATCATGATTTTAAAAAGAAACTCCTCATAATGAGAATATCTTTCATTTGAAAACAGCAGAGATTCAAATGTGAATTCCAAAGGGCAATAATATCCTTTACTACTTCACTGTGAACACTATCAGCACAGTCGCAGTAACTTATCAACTTCTACGGTCAGCGCAGCGATTAAAACATGCCATGAAACAATTCACCAGAGTATTTTAGGACTACCGTCAGTTAGCTGTTTCACAAGACATGCTGGGCCGGTCTCATCCGGTCCATCTCAGAACACAAACAGTATCACAGGAACAGTTTGAGAACTTTAAAGTGAGCTCACCATGCAGCCGTATATTTCAGAGGAGCTTCTGACTTGGGGGAGGATTTCCATCGGGACGTCAAAGTACCTGGGTCGTATAATGTACCGAACACAACAGACGGGGAAAGGAGAGCTTGTTCAAACGGTCTGTATTTGGACAGTTATGGGAATTGACTCAGTGTTAAGGGGTTGGACTGAGATAAAGCTAAAAGTCTTTAAAGTCACATTGTGGCAAACAGAAAGAGTTCAGTAGAACTCAGAGTGTATATGCTTGAGGGTGCTATGCTACAGGCACTTGTTCACATGCTCACTCGCATGCGTTAGTGTACCTGCAGAGCTCAGGATCCCAGTCCAAGCTGTGAATGTTGAAGAGCAAGGTGCGACTAGCGTTGGAGACATCTGTGCAGTGGACCCCCCCGTTCTTGCCCCCCGTCAGGCACTGAGGAAGAAAACAACACTGGACTGAGTGTGCATCAAATGTTAAAAAATAAAAAGGGGTGTAGATTCAGAGAACGTGGAAACATTCATTCATTCATTCTCTATATCTTGATTTAAATGTCATGTGAGGAAAAACACAAAAACATTATACAGACTGTAAATAGACTTCATCAAGTGCAGCTAAGCAACTACAAGAGGAACATCGGCTTTTACTTTTTGTAAGGCTGCACAAATGAATCAAAAAATGTATCGAAATTGCAATATGGTTTACTGCAATTTTCAAATTGCAGGAGATGTCCCTGCCATCGCATCACATTCTACTTTGTTTGGTACAGATTGCCAGATAAATCTCACCCAGAATCCCTTGCATGTGTATTTTAATGAGAATGATCATTTTTAAAACCACTATTTTAATTTTCACATTTGCAAGGTCAGTCATAAAAATATCAATTAGATGTATTCTCAAAATGGAAACTTTCAGTCCCAGCTCCATCTGACCCAAGGCCGGTCTCTTACCCAGATGATCCAGGAGTCCACCGTGCCGAACATGGCTCGCTCACTCAGCACCGCCTGTCGCACCTCATCCACGTTGTCCAGCAGCCAACGTAGCTTCACTGCACTGAAGTAGGTGCTGATGGGAAGGCCTGTCTTGTGCTGGAGAGAGGGGGGGGGGGTGGTAGAGATACTGATGAGAGCATTTGTTTGGGCTAAAAGAAGCATTGTCCTTATGGGTTGACCTAAGAAAGACCTCAAACTGAAGCTACGCAAATATCAGCCAATCAAAGAGAAGACCACCCCCAGTGCTGAGTTCTCTTCTAAGGTTAAGCACCATTAGTGTATACAACACCTTTAGTGGTTCATCAGTCATCCATGCATTCCTTTTCTACACCTGCTCATCCTGCTGGAGTCCATCTCTCTCACCTTGAGGTGGTTCTTGTTTTGACCCGGAGCTTTGTTGATGAGACTCTCCACAGTGGACTGTGTGCGCAGGTCCAGCCAAACTACAGACGAAGCAGAGGAGTACGGATTAAACTCGCCCGTAGTCCATTCGCAAACAAAAAATGTCTCTTTCAGCATTGCCTCTAGAGCAGTGTTTCCCACCTGTCTGGGCTTATTACATCACAAAACATGCATGCCACCTCTTGTCAGAAGTTGCGTGTCTAACAAAGTGATATTTATCTTCTCAAAATGTTTCAATCTCATTATTTTTAAAGATGTACAGAAGGGACATTTCATGAAAGTGCAAATCGTATCATAACTTCTGCTTTATCAGGATGATGATGTATCACCTGACCTGAATGACTGTGTGTATGAATACTACAAACAAGAGCCATGAGGATAGTCAGCGATGCTGGATATCACAAACACACCAACACGCTGTTCTTAAAGTCACATGAAGCTCATGTAGCTGGTGCAATTTAAGAAAAAAATGATTTAATTCCTGGCGAATTATAATCCAAGGAGAAAATGAGTTAAAAAAAATGCATTGTGTTCATACTACTATGAAGAGCATGTGTATATATATTTGTTTCCATATTATTTGAAACATGTTTGAATCCATCTAATCTAATACGAAGTTATCTGAGAAGAATCTTTACTTGAATATCAATTCTAAATCTGTACTACTATAGTAATCACTTCTGTTCTTTGAGACCTGCATGAAAATACCCCATCATTAGAGTAATCTATTACTATTACGGGTAGAAACTACAGCCTGCAGCCGTGAAGCTTCAAGAAACCAGTAACACCAGTTCAGCAGAGAGAAAAGGGCTCAATATCCAGTGGGTTGTGAACAGCATCCATAAAGCCCCCCAAAGGTGCACGAACTCGACTGTGGCTAAGTGGAGAGCGGGGCCGTCCTTCAATCAGAGGATCGGTGGTTCCGGCTCCGCTAGTCGCATGTCGATGTGTCCTTGAGCAAGACACTTAAGCCCAAAAATTGCTCCCGTAGCTGTGCCTACGGTGTAGAAATGTGATGGACTCTGAATTGTAAGTCGCTTTGGATAAAAGCGTCTGCTAAATGACTGTACTGTAATCTCAAAATAGACGTGTGACATTTGAGCCTGACAGCAACAATACATGTGCACTTAAACTATTAGAGACACACATTTCATTGGGACTGTCTCAGTTTCCTACAAACCAAGAATCAGAATGAGTCCAAAGATTTCATCATCACTCACAATTTAACACATGGTGGCTTTAGGCTAGATAACTGGTCTTGCCTCTTGAGGAATTGCTGAGCACAGTGACAGTGACAACCCACCCCCGACACATCGCTCCCAAGAGGCATGTGCTCAGCTCGTACTCTGAATAATTGCCACGTGGGACGGTGGGTGGGGCAGGGAGAGACGTGATGTGGGACACTACGATCTGGTGCAACCTAGTCATGTGCCGTCACCGTGCTGGTTCCCAGATGACATATTATTCTTATTTGCTCAATGAAAGACGTTACAGCTGAGAAGTACGGACTGTTCAGTCCGACACTTCGCAAGTAGTAACCAGAGAAGCTGCAGCAAAGGGAATCTTTACAAAAATAGGCTGGTTGAATCGAGGGATGGTGTCTAAATTGGGTCTTTGTCTGCCTATACATGCAGCTAGAGGGGAGCTCCGCCCATTCTCTAAATTCATACATGTTATTCCTACAGTCTTACACCGGGTTCACACTGGAATCGGGAAGGAGGGAGAAGTCAAAAGTCAGTTATCATAGATCAGAGACCATTTATGCATTTCATATATAATTGACATTTTTTATAGCAGATTATCAGTGTGTATTCTAGCCAGATTAGCTCGCGGCATGCTGAGAAAACAGACCAGATGCCAAACCCATCTCTGAAGATAGGGAGCTGGCCGCGGTGCGTCATGTGTTAACAGCCCAATCGGTTTACATGGGAGCTGAAAAAGACAGTCAGCACAACACGAAAATCACAGCATGTTGTTCATGTGTGAACCTGGCACAAGACAGTCCACAAATATCAGTGAACATGAACAACTCTCTCCCAGATTTAAAAACTAGAGTGCTAAAACTCAAACGTGTGATGTCATCAAGTACACAGTGAGGAGCTGCTCCATAGACAATGAATAGTGGAAGATGCTCTAGATGACACAGAGCACACAGGGGAATGATCGGAGTAGATGGTACATTTTCTGTTTCACAACTGGAACACTACTGGAGAATGAAGCTCTTTTGGGTACAAAGAAGAAAACTCGTGCATCGTCTCTGGAGCAGCTCCTCACTCTGTACTTGATGACATCACAAGATGGAGACTTCCTTTCTCTGGTTTCTGTCAGAGAGAGAGAAGCTCATGTTCATCATGCCATCTTCATCTAGGTGGTGTTCCCCTTTAAATTCCTTTACTTTAAAGTTTTGACATGTGATTTTTTTACAGTGTGTGTATAAATGGTCTAACTTGTAAACATTGAATCATACCAAATTAATATGTGAAGCAGAATCTGTTCACTCAGATGTAGAATGCACCCACCAATGGCGTTGTAGAGTGGCTCTCCGGTCTCTTTGTCCCAAATCAGGGTGGTCTCTCTCTGATTGGTCACCCCCACCGCTGAGAAACCAGCAACAACAAACTGTCAGCTTTGGTTAGCAGTCGTGTGGCTAACATATCTCCACCCACAGTCAGGCATTGTCCACACCTTTTATGTTGGAGATGTCGACGTTGAGCTGGCAGAGTTTCTCACAAGTCCTCTCCAAGCACTCGTACACCGACTGCATTATCTCTTTGGGGTCCTCCTCCACCCAGCTGAGTGAAACACAAATACAGACATGTCTGTTCTGTACTTTAAACAAAGATGGAAACCAAACCATCAACAGTTGTGTGAGGCTGTTGCTACCTGCTACCTATCACAAGGCAGTACTGTGTTCCTCAGTGAACTGCCTCCTTGGTGGAGAGCTGAGAGCATCACAAGTATCTGATTGATGCATTTCCCATGTTCACACTAATATAGGGTAATAAAAATAACACTGAAGATATTAGACAGTGAGGGCGTGATTAGGCTTACAGTATATAAATGTATTCTCTTCACTGAAAGTCCGGCCCGCACATTTGTTCTGACCCGTAAACAAATGGAGTTGATGACCCCTCATTTAGAGGAAACTGTTACGGTGGTTTTCTGAGAATTAGTTTAAGTAAACAGCTGCTCCTCTGGCTGATGTGACCTTTAAACATGACTTAAACTGATCACTGCAGCTTCAGCACATGTGTGCATTGAGGCAGGAATATCCAGGATCTACATGTAGCCATTGTTTCTGTTACAAAACAGAGCCAAGAGTAGAATTTGCTAAATTGTAAGGATACGAACTTAAATACGCTGTCTATCATTTACACATCCCATAATGTTTCTGACCTGGCCTAAAGCAGGCTGCACCAAATATATGGCCTCCGGTACTTTGTACAAAGCGTTCCATCAACCAGATTCGAAATGACGTCAACATCTGAATGTGTATCAACCTACAAAACCATAAGAGCTGGACCTTAGACTCATTGTGTTCTACACATCAAATAAAGTAAGAGATTAATCTAAAAAGCACTTCCATTGTAACCTCGGTAACCCTGTAAACATTGATGGAAGAAGGAAGACATGGTGGTTACTATCTGGGACGCAGCATGGATTTACAACTAGACCTTTTGATTGTTCTTTGTACATTAACTCAGCTAGTTTTCTGCCATTCTGAAAGATGTCCTGTATAATGCATGTTTACCAAATAAATAAAACACTGACTCTGCACTATTTACTCTCTGTACAGTCAGCAGCAGAATATGGTTTGGTTAGTTTAAAGAGCTTCTGGCAGCCCGACATTTAAGAGTGTTCTGTTATTGTGAAGTAAAGCTGCAACGCTTAGTCGACTAGTCAATTTAGTTGGCAACTGTTTAGATCTTCAAATAATCATTTTAGTCATTTAAGCAAAAATGTCAAACATTTGCTGTTTCTCGCTTCTCAAATGTGAGGATTTGATGCTTTTTTTGGTCGTATATAATAAACTAAATGTCTGTGGGTCACACAGAACCAGACAGTTGACAGTGTCCCCTTGGTGCGTGGTGAAATTATAACCGTTAATTGCAAAAGAATTGAGATTAAAGCACTCACCCTTCTTTGGGGAAACTCTGCTTGATCTCCATTTGGTGGTGACTCACCAGCTCAGCTGTTTTTGCATTGAACACCTGTGGAGAGGTTGAATTTATGAGGGACCAGGAATACTAAATGAGACAAGGCAAGACGACACAGGGCTGGAAATAGTGTCGGGAAGTTATATTTGTGATTTACATACAAGACAGAAAGGAGAGCACATGATGATTATTATTAGCTGAATTATTGCAGGCACCTCACGCGCCTGGCGTGAACATCCCTCCACTAGAGAATGGCTCCCTGTTACAGAGGGTGATGTAACAGGAGGCGGCCTATTAGTTGAACCTACAGTCAGACAGAAGTCAGCACTTCTTCTAAGAAGGTAAACCTCGGTGTACACATCTGCAACTCAGCTGCCGACAGTACTCACATTGCTAGCTTATGAGAATTCAACACAGCAACGTAACACACGGAAAAACCGTGACGCACTGACACACACAACTCTTTACACTTCACAATCCTCTCACAGCTGCAAGACTTGACCCAGATACAAACAGGCTACACGCTGAACCCGTTAACACTGAAAGGGAAGAGGTAACATTCTGTTGAAGTCATGCAGTTGGACATCAAACAACACGATGAACTGCATGACGGGTCTCTGATCTCACTCTTTTTTTATACTTTATTGCAATGTTTCCATCTTCTTCTTCCAGATAATTGTATATTTCAAAGTGCATTGCACATGTCTGTACATTCTATGCAAGTTAAGTGAATACATAGCAGAAAATAACCACGACACACAACAACTAGACAAAACGTAACGCAAAGAAAAAACATTTGGAGTCCAAAATTGCATCACAAATAAGTCAAAATCTGACATCCACTGAATACTTATGCCAACAAGTTCCCCATTTAAGCCATGACTTTCATGTCGACGTGACCCTATGAAGTTGACCAGGAATACAAGTCAAGTATCCTCGTAGCCAGAGTGTCATCAAAACATTTCCACGGGATCATTGCCAGGCTTTGTGTGGCTTGTTGTTTGTGGAGCGACCGTGCTAGTCAACAAAAACAAATACATTTTGTAAAATTCAACCTAAGTGTAACATCACTTTGTAGATGTACTGACACAGAGACCTCATTCTGAACAGTTTCACTAACAAACCATCAGATTATGTCCAAAGCTCAGCAAAAGACTGAAACTATCATGCCATCTCTTTATAGTGTCAGGGTGGATCCAGTCTACTGCAGAAACAGCTCGGAGCGTGCAGGACTCAAGGCTATTGTTATATTATAGTTATATTGAGGATATAGTTCAACATTGTTGACGAGCTTGATCACTACCATCTACGACTAGAGAAGACGTTGCTTATCGTCGTATGGGTCCCGTGAAGAACCTCACAAACAACCTCCTGGGTTTAGGATTAACTGTTGGTTTAAATGACATGTGCATGTGACTGTGCAGTCAGTGTCACCGGGTCAGCTTTCAGCCAGTGACCTCACAAAGGGTTCAAAGGGCTGGTAACTAATTAAGAAAACTTCCAGAATGCCGTTATGGAACATGTTCGCTGTGGACATCCGTAACTTTTCACCACATAAGTTTGAGATATACTCCCCGCATAATGAAAAGGTTGAGTTACAGATGTAAAATATGAATTTGTGTAGATGCTTAATATGTTGTTTCTTCTTCGTTGCTCATTAATGTTAAGTCTTTACCAGGATCTGAGATCATAATTGTAGTAAAAGCAGCTAGTGTTTTGAATTTAGTATCAGACACCAGCCAAAGTCACATTTCACCCTAATGTGCACCCGATGCACTCAGGCATCAAACACCGTGTCTGCTTCTACCTCTACGGCGCTCCAATCCGCTGTATGCTGTGCAAAGTCTCAATCTTCCGGCTGACCTACTTGTTGAAGCCCAACTCTATTCACAACGGATCACTTAACAGGACTCATCTTGCTAAACAGTGGAAACAAAGCAACAAGTGGAGAAATGTTTTCACGTGATGTCTGCGGTATTCACACAGGCAGAACTAGGAATGGGATGATTTTAAGGAGGTGAGTGTCTTTGGTGGTTAACAGTATGAACTCAACACAACAGGAGAATTTCACAAATTAGGATGAGTCAGTTAGTTTGCCTTAAAGGGGTTCATGAACTTCAATGCTGAAAACTCCTAATGCAAAGAGCTGACTCGCTGAATTAGTCTTTACACACAGACATGAAATCACATGCTCATTCCTCAGAACACACTCACCTCATAGTAGCACATCCTTATTACTGTGAATATGAATCTATTCAACACATTGGGTGGTTTGTACAAATCATTGAGGTGACCAACACTTCAACATAGTCTACAAGTCTACAGGCGGTTTGTCTTGTATGGATGTAGAAGGTATACTGCAGAGTGCAGCTGTACGCATTTAAAAAGGCTTTCAGTGTCAGTGTTTGTTTGTTTGTTTGTTCGATCTTTGAGAAAGGGCCTTTTGCAGACAAAGTTTTACTGGGAATATGTTGCTTCTTGACAGCATCATTTCATAATGGACATTTTGTTTCATAATTCAATAACGGTTGACATGCATCATGTTTATTAAAAGCATTAATATCAGGTTTATTAAAAGCATCACAGCATTATACATACCGTTATGTATAATGTTGTGATGCTTTTAATAAACCTGATACATGATGCATTACATGGTTCGATAGAGTTGATATGTAATTGCATGCCATTATGATATTTTGAAACCCAAAATTAGGAAGATAGCCTTTTGTGCTAACAGTTTAGCACATTGAAACCAAGTAAGTCAAAGCCATATATCATAATACTGTATATTGTCATACCACTGCTCTCGTGCAGGTTAGCGTTAGCCTAGCCGCGCGTAGTTGCTTGCTAGCCAATTAAAGTCGCGTTAGTTACCCAAACTTATCATTTCCACTTGCAATAACTTTCTTTGAGTCGAAGCCTTCGCTATTTGCTATCAGCTAACGTTGCGTGTCAAATAATACAGCAAATGCCGAAAGAAAGTGAAACACAGAAGTTGCATTAATAAAGACCACTCGGTGTGTTAATTAACACGAACCATATGACGTCACTCACCAGAAACCTCGTCGAGCTCGTGCCCTGGTCAATTGCAGCAACCAGCGGATCCATCGTTCTACTTTTTTTTTTCTCGTGACCGTAAAAAACACTAAAAACCAGAGGCTAAACACTACCAGCTGGTGGATTCGACACTTGCCAGGTTTCCACGACACGAGTGGTTTTAATCAAACACCGGCCAACACTCCTGTCGCGGGGTATAGACGGAGAGGGCAGGGTCATGAGTGAGGACGAGCCGGTGTTCTGTTGATTGGCTGCTCGGTAGAAGGCGTCGGCCACGCTCTGTCCAATCGGGTTTGGGGACACGGTCTCTCAATGAAGACCCCACGCTACTCCACGACCGCGAAGGTCCGCCTTGTGTTATTGTTTTGATCGAGAGACCTCTAGCGGCGTTTAATATGACCAAGGATGCCTCTGATATGACTAACGAGCTCAAACTGTTACTTTACTTTATGACACAGTCATCAATTAAAAACCTGCTGATTGTTCAGTGATTATCCCACAAAAGCCTTGTAGATTGATCATGTATTTTTTTAGGTACAAAAAAATACAATAGATTATTAAGGACTATTCTCTCTTCTGTGTGTTGCCAATACACTTGAAGAGGAACAACAGAGCAGTCATTTCGTAGTTAAGATAAGAAGTTACCTCTCTTTTCCAATTCCACCAAACAGTTAAAGGCAACTTTTTAAAGTTTTAACTTCCATGACACCAGAGAACAGATTAAGTAGCAACTTTTGGGATGCTTTTCAAAGTTGGATAACATATAATAATGATCAAAGTATTCAGAGCCTAACATTTGAAAATAAACACTTTTTGTCTCCAATAAAACAAGACAAGAAAACAGAGTTTGGGAATATCAATTTAATTATTTTGGCAAACCATTTCATATTTGTTGTTTCTTTAAAACTATTCCTATATTTGCTGCGTATCTAAACGAGATAACATTATTATACAAAAGAGTGTTAAAAAAGTCCTCTATTTATATGAATCTATGTACCTGATTGACCTACCTGTTTTTTATTTTTTATATTTCGTAATGATTTATTTTGTCTGTTATTTATATCACTCGCTCGCAGTGGCGGCTGGTGGAACATGTTCTCTGTAGGGCTGTGCCACATCCAATCAATTTCAGCAAACATCCCAATATGATTTAATGCAAAAAAATGAAGGTCTCAAACACGCATTACTACTTTACAGTTAAATATTTAACCTTTATTACATGAAAAAAAGCAGTAAATAACACTTTGACAAACACGTCAGGACATCTTATTTTTGTCTCCCTCACAGGGAATTCAGTATAATATAATAATATATATAGCCAAGAAAGTATGATACAGATGCTGTAACGGAAGTGGCAACAGGAACAGGAGAGCCCCTTTGACTGCTCACTACAAGCTCGTAGATACAGAAAGGTGTGCTCTCCCCTTTAGCCTTGTTAACAATGCTACCAGTGGCATCGAGGAAGACTGTTGAGGTATCCACCAAAACATGGCTGAGACACACCTCAGCTAAACCTATCTCTATATTCTTCTATTCAAATAATTGATTCATCAATTAATTAAGTTATTTCTCAAATTAAAGACTAAACAAATACTTCGAACATAGTGAAACTGTGGTACTGTCATGTACTGCAGGTGAACTTTGATTCTATCAAACACCTCTACTTTCTGCAGAGCGAGGAGCGAGACCCTAATAACGTTTGGGCTCCTGGCTGACTCTTACACAATGGAAACTTCTGGCTGACTTTAAACCATAGTGAGCAATGTCTGAAAGTGTGGTTTTGAGACTTTTTTTAATTTTGAGTTTTGTGTTTAACACATTTAAGTTTTATTCCGCTCATTGAGCCATAATTGATTTCTTAACTATTACTGAGCTAAGAGTAATTTGAAATCCATCATGACTTTACTTTTTACTGTTAAGTGTTAACTTGAAGAAGCCTGTCATAGATCGTAAAACTACATAAGCAGCTTCATCCAAGGATTTGGTAATGTTAAATTGTCGACCATATATGGACCTGGGGGTCAAAGATGCTGGAAGCAGTAAGGTATAGATAGGAGGATACCACAGAGACACGGGGTTCTGTATTTTGGTAGGCTTTTTGTTCAAAACCTATTTTAACTTTTGTCTTTTCTTTTACTTAATCTTTACATTATCCAGTTTTTGTAACCTTTAATCATCTTTTTATTTTTGTAAAAACCCAATAAAACTGTTTTTTATTTTGTACATTCCGATCAAAGTCAAGTCTTGCTCATCTCTGAGGGGGCCTAGTCTCCTACAGGTAAGAGAGCTCTTCCCCAGATAGGCGACAGGCTGACACTAGTAAATGATGATGATGAGTGATTCTGGGGTGAACTGTTCCATAAAGCAGCATTATTATTAATCAAAATAATAGGAAACAAACTGGATGCAGACTCACTTAAAGCAGTTCTAGCCAAATACAGGATGATTATTAAAATGTTTTTTGCTGTATGAAAACTGAGACTTGAAACGATGTTGTTGAAATCACAAGTGCAGCAGCACAGATTATTCTGGAGACTTCCCCAGCGTAGACCCTGTTGATGTGACTTTGTCTGTCTGGAGGTATCTTGGTCACAGTGAGGCTGTGGTGAACTGCTAAAAGAACTAAAATAACATGAAGTTGTGCTGATCTACAGCTCAGGGGACTCCTTGTCTGACTGACTGGGCACCAACGTGTCTTCCCAGCGCTGTCCAGGGAGCTGATTCTGGGTCTGCCAATGACGCGAGCTCTGTCCTGTCAGTTCAGCTGGAGAGTTGTAGAATTCTTCATTTGAGAGTCTTATCCATTATTTCAGGTCAGGGTGATACTGACTTTAACACACTCTCACGGATTTTTATCTTACTGGTTTGAGTACAAGGAATAGGACAAGTGTGTACTCCTTACAACACCAACAGGAGAATCCTGTGGATGATGCTGGAAATCCATCTACCCTGACTTAACGAAGAAGCAAGTCTGGTGTCACAATTATGGAAAAACATCCTGCAAATGGTAAACCATCAACTAAAAGGCACGTTTATTTGCCTCTATTGAATTAAATACTACATACTATCGCATAGTAAAACCTTAAAACCTGTTCTACATGTAAATTGATGTTAAAAATATTTCTCCGTGTTATTAGGCAGCTGGTTACGGTCAACAATCTCTGAAAGTTATCTTCTCAAACCCAAAAGTTATTTGTGAAAACGTTTAAAATGACAAGTTATCGCTGAGAGTTTACATGTGTGCACATCAGTTAACGCTTGGAGTCGTGCACCTGCAACACCTGGACGTGGGGATTAGGAAATCTCAACTGGGAAGATTCTGACCTCCGAATTGTCTGAAATGCTGCATGAGAACCACGGACGTGATAGCAAAGAAACGGCAGTCCATACCACATAGAGACACAGACTGACACTTTTCTACATATGGTTTGTACCTTATGACGCCCGGGGCTTTAATAGGGCCCTATTGGGGTTGCAGCTGGTGTGATCCAATCTCCAGATAGTCTCTGGTGTGTTTTCAACTGACCACATTTGATGCAATGCAACCAAATCAGCTAACAGTATATCGAGTTTATTTCCTCCCAAACCAACAGTGGAGGTTTTATTGTATTATATTGTGTGACCTAACATGCAACATTTGTCACTTGTTTCTTTTATAATACAAAAATGTTTTTCGTCATAAAATATAATTCACGAAAATGTGTTGCACTGTACTTTGGAAATACTATAATATAAAAAATACATTAGTGTTGAGAATGATATCGAGCTCATCGAGTAAAAGTTAGGTTCCACCTCACCGTATTCCATTTAATACTGCAGACACCAAAACTACTACAGACGGATCAGAGTACGGTGCTTGTGCTTAGCCCAGTAAATAAACATGTCAAAGTCCATTCAGACAGTTGGAATACATTTAAATCAGTCTAAAATCATACACTCTTCAGATAAGATGCCCTGTCCAGTACATGCCACCAGCTCACTGTGCGTCTGGTTTCGAGGCTTCGGGCAGAGCCTCCGTGTGGCTGTCAGCTGAGCTCTGTGTGCCCACAGTCGTCTCCTGGCTCTTGGCTGCATTCTCACTCTGAGCCCGGATCTGCTTCTCCCTCTCCAGTGCTTTCTCCATCTCTGTGTAGTAATCCAGAGCCTTCCGTACCGGGTCGATGATGTGTTGCTGCAGAACGAATGGGGGATTGGTCAAATTACACCCAGAGTGAGCAAACTTTCCCTTAGCCATGTCCACTTCTCATTTAGTAAGTGATTCCCAACATTATCTACAATGACTTGTCAGAATCAAAGGTTTGGTACATTACCTGGATATTCATGAATCTTTTAAATAAATTACCTCCAAGCAGGGGAAGAGGTTGGCCAGCTCGATGAAGAGAGGCAAAAGGACAAATCTGATGAAGCCTGTTTGAGATGAAGGCTTGTTTACTTTGTCCCGGTCCATGAAGGGCGTGACGGGAAGACCCTCTAACTTCTCCTTATCACTCTGAGGGCAAAGAGAGGGGCGATACATGCAGCGGGGCTGTTAGTTTGATTTGACTTTGTTGCCTCTGAATCTGGCCTGAAAAGTAATTGTATGTGTAAACAACCCTGTATAGTTGTGAAGCTCATATCCACGTGTTGCCACAGTCTTTCCATACAAGAGCACTCGGTCACCTGGTTGTAGAATTCCTGCAGAAGACAGTCCAACCAGGGCTCAGCCACCTCCATGGGCCGCGCCTCGTTGGATATGTCGCTCACTTTGATCAGAATCATCATCAGCTGTACACACAACAGGAAGGAATCAGATAGACAGCCCTGAACTGTGAGAGAAACACAGAGGTAAAGAGTTTACCCTCTATCAGTATGATGGGGCCTCACAGAGGCCTGGGCTCCACTGGAAGCAAGAAAAGTTTATAGTTTGTAATTTATACAACCTAATGTTGGCAAAGTCCTTAAAAGGGTTGAAATGTGTGGCCATTAATGCATGCCTCTACATCCAGCAGGCTAAACTAGTGCGATGCTTTCCTTTTTGAAATGTATAAACTGTGATGGCGCCTCAGGTCGGCTGTTTTTACATCACATCAGCATGAAATGTTGTCATTTCATGAATATGCTATACATACAGTATATTCTTATGCTGTTGGAACAGTCTGCCTGAGGATCTAAGAGAAGCTCAATGTGTTGATATCGTTAATCATAAAAATACAAATACCTCTGGCTTTTGATTAGAATGTTTAAATCCAAATTGAACTATTTATTCAATTTAAGTCATGTTTTAAAAATGCAGGTATTGTTTCTCTTATTTGTCATGGTATTTTATTGGTTATATTATTCCACTTTTATCATTTTTATGTCTTGTGTGCATTTGTCTGAAATAGTTTGACTTTATATTTGTGCTGTCGTATTGTCCTTTTGAACGGCACTAACCTGTATTACAGGTGCATTAGGAATAGATCTTAATGTCCCTTTTTATATACCTCTAAAATGAAATGCAAAGCCCACCCCTCAGTATCATACACAAATACTGTCTGAACATGAAGTTACATGAGTTATGAATATGGAATCATATTGCCACAGAGGCCTGTTTGCTCTCCTCTTACCACTTCTCTGTGGTCCTTGTTGGTGAAGTCAAACGATGGCAGGATGGACTTGAACCTGTTGAGAATCTCATTGTGCCGCGTCATGTCAGTGGCCAGAATGCATCTGCAATGAGGACATAGAATAAAACCCATAGCCCATGCTGCTGTGCTATCATAACATGAGTAAATGTGCACGCTTAGAGAATCAGAGAGGTGATCTCACTTGATGATCCCTTCTCTAATCCGTTTGTATTGATCCATGGACAAGTTTCTGAAGATGTTGCTCTCTGTCTACAAAACAGAAAGCCCTCTGTTCATGGACAGGCTCCATGTTATGGTGATAGCTCCATACTAAAGTGGATGTGTGATGGCAGCCTGGACAGAACGTTTTGAACAAACAGCGGGTTGTCATCCTTACCTTCTCTAGGATCTCAAAAGCTACAGCACAGTGGTGGTTCTCCAGTGGAGAGATGTCGTTGTAGCGGAGAGCAAGTTCAGTCCGAGCATTTATCTGAAAGAGGTCACACTTCAGTTTGGAGCTTCTGATGAACTTTAAATAGAGTTGATGCTGAAGCGCGTCTGTATGCATTGGTGCGATAGCCACAAGGGACAAAAACAGTCAATGTTTATATAACTTGAGAAAGGTCAAAAACAGCAGACGGTAAACACTGAGGTGATGTCACAGGCTCTGAGTAAGGTAAACAAGTACCAGTATATATAAGTCGATACAACTGGCCAATTTGAGCAAATATAACAACTATATTGGTAGTGATCAGCATATATGTAATATAGAAATTATTGAATTTATTCAAATTCAAGACATTAGAGTAAAAATCCCCAACACTACGAGATAGCTTTGCCACATTCCTCCACTGTGAAATATCTCCCTTGATACATCTCTTGATCAGAATTATTTGATAACCAAATTTAAAGAGTTGGTTCACATTTATTTCAAGTCTGTCTTAATACATATATGTCCATATTAATAAAGAACGTGTTATTGGTCGTTGTCATTGTTCCTCTTGTCCAAAGCAGCTGTGAAAAGATCCCTTCTTAAAGCATTGTCATGGAAAAGCATTTGCACACCACGTCTGAATTTTTTGTCTCTAAATGAAGCACGTTTAAAAACAAACACAACCTCACATTGTGTCAATCAAGTTTAAATGTTTGACCCGTCAGAGCCACCGTACATGCAGATGTCATCAGCCCAAATCACATCTGATGAGCTGATTGACGTCTGCTAGCACAAAGCACTTTACGACAAACAAAGTAAAGAATACAGCAATGCAGAATTCAAATTTAGATTGTGGCAGGTGATCATGTAGCCCCATTTGGGACTAGCGCTATCCATTATGCAGTAATTTATTCAGCTTTGTCTCATATAACAACATTTTGAACATTTTGCAATAAACAGAATAATAAAACGCATCGGTCTCAGTGTTCTGTGGGTACCAATTTTTATTGGATGACGGAAAAATGGGAAAAAAACGCTAACCAAATATTTGTACTTGGTGTGCAAAGGCTTTCAGAGGTGTCTCGAAATCCACAAAAAAAGACATTCTTATGTTCAGCTGAAGTGAATTTGAGGATTCTAGACAAATCATGTGTGTATCTTTCAAAATGACGCTTTCTTTTGTGGCTCAGCAACTGTCTGCGGCAGCACAAAGAGGGGGTTTCATATACCTGATAGGCGTTGTTGTATCCTGTGTGGTCGAGGTCGTGGCAGACCGCACAGGTCAGCATGATCAGCAGATCCACGCTGTCCATCTTAGTCTTCAGGTCAGTCAGCCAGATCAAACCATACATCTGCTCAGAGATAAATAGTAGTACAGCATGACAACGGGAGATATTATCATGTACTTAATGTGGAAAAAGAAGGCTGCCATCTACTCTTAAAGATGAAAAGATTTGCTCCAGATGCTTGTTAACTTTGTCTTACTGCTATTTGCTGGTGCAGGTAGATTGCCACTGCTTATCAGAGTTTGTTCATGTTGATATTAGAAATCAATCACTACATTTTTTATCCAAAAAAAATCAGCTGAAAGATGCTAAAAAGCTCAGAGCTTATTGTCCCGCAACCCATTTTCACACTATTTTATCCGTTTTTATATACAAATATTGATGAGTGCAGTTTGAAGAACAAGACTTTTAAAGGATAGTGAGTCAACATGCTGCTTCACACAATTACAGACAGATACACAGCCAGCACCATCGGCTTATAAAGTTGATATGGCTAACATGTAAGCAGTTGAGACAATCGATTGTCCACTGATCTGAGGCGCCTCTTAACTCTGAGGACCAGATGCACTTCACCAATTAACAATCAAGGTGATGGCATAGTTGCACTATTTCATGATTACAGACACGATTGGGCTTTCCATGATTTGCTCCGATAAAACGTCTCTCAAAAAAGCGCACACACATACACACACTCACCATCTGGGTGACACAGAAGCAGTGCTTGAAGTTGTGGAAAGGGATGTTGTTGTATCGTCGGTAGACCTGAAACAGGAACTGTTGCAGTACTTCTGGCTCGATGTTGAAAGCCGCTATGAAATCTAAATCTGTGTACATGACCTGAAGGAGCACCATGATCTCTGCGTCCTCCCACTGCCTGCACCGACACACACAAAATACGCCATGGGAGGGCACTTATATCTACAAATACAAATACCAATGCTCATGATTAAAAAAGCAAACATCCAATCGGTTAAAGCAGGGGTCTCAAACTCCCGGCCCGCCACGTCATTTTATGTGGCCCGCGAATCCGCGAGCAAAAAAAAAAAAAAGTTTAAAAAAATAATAATAATAATAATAATATTTTTTAAAGTTAGACTTCATAATAAAAATATCCCTATAGTCGAAATTATGAGATCGAAAGTCAAAATGATGAGATACTTAAACACAGTCATAGAAGCAGCTCTTTGGCTGGTTACTGTACATTTGACATGGAAATGTATTGTGAGTACATTGAAGACTACTTTAAACGTGGCTTTACAACACATGAAATACTTCACGTGGGATTGTGCAAACGCACCCTTGAAAGGATTTTAAACTTTGAACAAAGTTATTGTAATAACTTGTTTGATATTTGTCTTTGCTATTTTCTTTAATAGTTTGATCTTTGATAGAGTAATGTGGGTTTCTTAGCCCTAAATTAATAGGATTTAAGTTATAACAGAAATGTGCTTAAATATATTTTTACATTTATATACCTGCATGTACAATATTTTTACACTTGAATAAACAATAATCAAATGCGGAGACAGTTATTTAACAATATGTTACGAGTAGTTACATTTACAACCGGCCCTTTGTGGGCGACCATGTTGCTGATGTGGCCCGGAGTGATGAGTTTGAGACCCCTGGGTTAAAGGGTTGGTAATGTTGAGAAACCAGAAAGATTTTTTTTTTTAAATGGTCCAACTTAAAAACCCAGCCCTGAGTTGCCAACTCTTTTCCGATGAAGGGAGCTAGCATCACTCGCTCCAAAATTCGCTAAATGTAGCGACTTTTGGACTTTTGGACACTTCCCTTCAGTCCTCCCTCCAAAGCCACTCCCACAAATTATCATTATATACTGTACGTAAACAACCAACATGGCTATTGTTGGTACCCACAGCTGTTGAGCTAGCAGCTGTTGGAAGACTCGGGTGATGACGAATGAGTGCACGGGCAGAATACGCTCAGGCAGGCGGGCAGCTCGTCCAATCATCACGTTTGGGCCGATTGCGATGATTGGACGGGCTTGTTGAAGTCCTCGACAGCCACACAAACAAACCTCTTTTTTCTTGTTTTTGTTTTGTCAGAGCGTCTGATTCATTGATTGCTGTCAGGATGTAATGACAATTTCAATTTAGATATCAAAAATGTTTTTGAAGAAGATAACCAACCCTGCCTTTAATGAAGGCACCTCACCTAAAAACATTTTGTGAATTAACATTTTAGTCTCAACAGCATAACATCTGTGATAACATACATCTGTGATACCATATTTAAAGGTTTCATCCAAGCATCACACTGTGTATATATATAAAGCAAAAAATACGTTTTGATAACACTTGCAATAAAGTATAAATGTATATATACAGTATATATAGCAAAACAAAATGTGTCATCTGATAGACTGATATATGTATATATATATATATATATATATACAAACAAGTATTATGTATACAAAGCCTTAACTAATGTATTCCTCTGTACCATAGAGCTCTATTGTTGTCCATATATGATAAGACGTCTCAATGAGATACACTGTTGCATTGGGTGATATAATCCATCATTACCATGAACACACACACACTAGTATATCTTATCTCCACACTGTTCTACTGCGGGAAATATATGTATGAATCCATAGCTGAAAATAGTCCCCAAAAATGCACTATTTACTTCTGTTTGATAAAAACTACAGTGCCCAGCTGTTTCAGGAAATTGCTGAACCTTTATAAAAAATTTAAATACTTTTTAAAGGTGTAGGTCTTCAGTGGGAATGGCTTGGTGATGAGCAGACGGGGTAGGGAAGAGGGTTAGGTATAAAACGGCTATTATACGAAAAGCATAATAGGTACTAAAATACATTATAATTTATGGGATCTCTTGACAAAAATCTCTTCAAAAATGTAGAATAACACCAGCCTCATCCTTCATAATACCTCTATGCCTACAGAAAATCAGGGTTTCAAAGGAATCCTCTAATTCAGTTTGATCAGGTGACGCCCGAGCTTCAGTTCTCATTCTGTAGCCTGCGCATGGCCGCATATCCATCCACCGCCGCCATTGTGGGTTTGCTTTAAAAGCTTTTTTGGACATGAGCAAGCCTCGCTGAATGCAGCATGCGCTTCCTCCCCATGAAGCCCACTTCAAACATGGTCTCACAAAGACCTTTTGATTTGTGAGCCCTCTGCAGGCCTATTCATATTGAGATGAGTGTGTTCATCAGAGGAAAGGGGTGACGTCTCCCATCCTCAGAAGTGCATTAGAGGTGCTTGTCGGGCACGACCGCCATTAGCCGACCGTCTGCCTCACTGTATACTGAGGACACAGGTGCACTGGTGGTTTGCACACCGTTGTCATGACCATGATGCTGCAGGAGACACTAATCATCTCCAGATTCATACTGGTCGATACTTACCAGTTATCAAAGGTCGGGGTCTTTAAGTACTGCCTCACCCCCTCTGACACTTCCAGGGAGCTGCAGTGGCAACAGCATAAGCATTAATGGTTACCATATTTGAACATATAATATATGGAGGGCAGTGTAGTTTCTAGTGAGGTTTGCGTGTGAACGTGCCTCATTTGTAGAAACTTTTCCCGCACATGCTCGCACTCCTTCCTGGTCTTATGCAGGGTTCTCTTGTGGTAGAAGGGGGAGGGCTTGTGTGTTCCCTCCGACAGGTCTTTAAACAATCCCAGCCAGCTCAGATGCTCCACACTCTGAAAAGAGACGGGTTAGAGCAGCACATCAAATCCCCAGGTTGGCCCTTCAGGAATGACAGATTATCTGTAAACAGCTTCCTGCTAATGCTGGAAACAAGGATGATGACAAAAACAATGAACTAAAGATGTTAAAAAAGCTCAGCAGAGCTCAGGGAATCGAGGAGTCGGGTGATAATTCTCTCTGAGGTCATCACATGTGAGCAACCCTTTTCACATTACACATAGTCATTTAATTCACTGCAAAAGTATTTATAAGTGCAGCTTTAAAATACGAAGTAAATCTAATTACAACATTGTTTTTTTCTTACTATCCCACTTCATATGAAACCAAGCAGCAACCTCCACTTCTGAAAAGTGAAACCAACGCAGAAGTGCCTTAAAGTTGCATTCTTTCTAACAGCAATCAGGCCTCTGGTTGCAAAGACAAGTCTGGTTGTATAGAAGTCTATGATAAAATGACTCTACTTCTCTCTTGATTTATTACCTCAGTAAACATTGTAAACATGAGTTTATGGTCTCAATCTCTAGTTTCAAGTCTTCTTCAATACAGCATGATGTTCATTTAGTAAATTATGGTCCATTTAGAGTCACACAGACCATAAAGCAGGGGATGCTTTAGGGCGGGTCTACACGGTGATTGACAGGTCTCTGCCACAGCGTTGTCCGGTCTGGGAGTTGTCTGTGTTTTCTTCTTAAAACTTTCCCTTTCACGTGTGTTTTCAGTTCATGAAGGATCACTGTAACATTTTGGTCGACTAAAAATGTCTTCATCATCGTTCGGTTGTACTAAGCTCCACCCTCTCGTGTCACTTCTCGTTGCAAGAAAACAAGATAGACAAAATCGTAGTCCACAAACCAATGGGTGACTTCAGGGTTGGCTTGGGTCAGCAACATTTATTTTTCCGATGAGGATTAAAAAACTCCCGATGCAGATGATTATGATTCAGGGCGACCGTGGCTCATGGGTAGAGATGGTTGTCCGGTCACCGCAAGGTTCGCGGTTCGATCTTCGGTTTCTACGTGTGCTGTGCCGAAGTGTCCCTGAGCAAGACACTAAACCCCTAACTGCTCCCCGGGCGCTTCTCAGGGGCAGCCCACTGCTCCCAATATATACTAGGGATGGGTCAAATGCAGAGAACAAATTTCCCCACTGCGGGACTAATAAGGGATTGTTTAATCTTTAATTATACTTTTGTGTTGTCATATTAATAAGTTCCACGTACTTTGAACCCAAATTTGCAGAGTATCTTTACAGAGTACTGCACCTCTAGTTTCTCCTGGAATGAATCCACCTGTTTCTTCATCTCGTACACAACTGCAGGAGTCTCACCGGCCTCGATCAGGATGTTCTTCTCCAGGCCCTGCAGTCTGAGATCACACCGTCAGGGAGGTGTTAAGTCATCACACATCTATATCTTTAGTTTGGGCTGTTCAAAGTCTCAAAGTCTTGCATTGTCCATCTGTCCCTCTGGTTCAAAGTATAAAGCACCTAAACACCTGATCTCTGATTATTCATAAAACTTTGATAACTGCCTCTTTCACCTTTCACGTTAAATGTGAATCATATTTATCCTCAGGAATATATCTAAGTATGTCCTGTTTCCCTTATTTCCCACCTTTACCTTTTGTCCATAGAGGAGAGGTCAAATCCGAGTGCAACAGCAAGCTCCGCAGCTGGAATCACAAGACAAGAGGAAGTCCATCAACAACTTTGAAATGAGCCCATGCACTGCGATTCCCAGGGTGCAAAGTTAAAGATACCTAACGGCTCACTGTTGCTGTCGGCGGCCACCACCTCCAGCTTGTAGCAGGAGTTTGGGCTGTTGGGCTCCAGACTCGGGGAGATGTTGATGATGTTGCCTTTGGGGTTGTACAGCTTCAGGATGTCATGGGGTCCTGCCTCGGCTGCACAGCGGAACAGATCTGAAAAGGAACAGCTCACCGCTCAGTTCACACTATGCCCTGAGAAATGATTTCACAGTTTACCTCAACTGCTCAGGAAGACCATGGGGTGTGGCTGGAAAGCCCTGGTAAGTGGTCCTTGAGTTATAATATATTTGTCAAGCTTTTAGGTACCTGTTTTTAAAAGGAACCCTTAATAAATGGTTAATAAGTTGTGTTTTTCTTTCAGTTTATTTTTTGGGCAATGTTCTGCCTTTAGAGAGGAGAGAGAGAGAGAGACTGGGGAGGAGGGAGAGAGGGATCCACATGCAGCAAAGAGACACAGGTTGGATTCAGACCCGGGCCTTGGTACATGAGGCACCCAATCCTTTATTATTGTGAACAAAATCTTTAAATATCTTCACAGATCATACAATTATTATCATCAAACCAGTAATAAGAACAACTTGTGAGTTGCCAGATTGTGCAAAAAGACCTCTGGAACAGGGCTGCAGAGGATGTTGACCAAAATCCATTTTTAACAACTTATTATAACCAAATGTATCCATGTATTTGCAAATAGAAAGGATAGACAGAGGCCAAAGGTTTTTTTCATTACTTGGGTTACTGATCTATAAGTGTTCAATCATATATTGACATTAATAAAAGCACTTACAAGCCCTTTATAAAGTGTGCCGTGTTTGAAAGTGCTACCACTTTTATATCACACTACCACAGAGGCAAGCAGATTATACAGCTAGATTAGCAATAATCCAATCACCACAAGCTAAAAACAATTAACGAACAACCATCTCATTGACATTATATGTGGGATCTTCAATAGCCACATGAAACAAAGCACATAAAGAGCATGTGAAGCCAGAGCTGGACAAAGCCTTCACCCTGTGTGACCCTGTGTGACCCTAGAGGAGCTGTCAGTGGCAGCTGTTTGGCTGTCCGAAGCTCAGACAACCTCCTTCACACTTATACAGCTGTTTCACCTGCTGGTCCAACGACCGACTGTGCTTCTGATCCACGCACTAACCAAGATTGTTTCCTTGTCTATTTTAAGAAAGAAATAGCTGTAAGAATATGTGTCTGTCAGTCAATCTGTTAATGCCTTTCAAATTTAGATTCCATAATAACATGTCAGATATTCACATTATATAAATGTAAGTGTAAAATCCTGGTAAAAGTGGGAGAATTTTGGAAAAGTAGTTTTTATTACATAGAAAAATGCAGATCATATTTTTAAACATTATATTTGACATACCTTAAAACTCATTTCTCAAACAAATAAGTGAACTTTAACATCATTCCCTGCTCCTACCTTTGACGTCCTCAGCAGGGCAATCCACCAGGAACTCAGCCTGCTCCGGTGTCCCATTCACGGTGAAGTAGATGAGTTTTGCTGCCATGTCATGAATTCAGAGCCACCGATGTTGCTGTGTTCACTGCTGATCTGGATCTAAAGTCTGTCTTGCCTCATTACTGGTAAACACTCCTCCCCCTTGTTTTTATTCTCTCCACCTCCTCCTGTGCTCCTCCTTCTCCTTTCCTTCGTTTGTACTGTAGCGTTTCTCCAAACCACACATTAGAAGGCTGATTAATTCAAAGCAACCCAAAGTTTCCCCCCCTTTGTGTTTATTCTTGTATTTGTTGTTCGTTTGATCTTTTTGTGGAAGCCCATTTCCACCATTTAAAAAAAGGAAAAAAAACACCACACTATTAAGTCTCATTAGTAAGTGTTCAAATAAAAAAATATTATAAATATATTAAATTATACATTATTATCTAGTGATTATGAGATGGTATTTTAAAGTTGTATGTTTTAATTAATTTTCACTAAATAGTCTATTATAATTATGAGATAATAAGTCAATTTATCAAATGATGAGATACCTCAAAATGTATATATATATATATATATATATATTATTTCATTTTATTTTATTTTATTATCAGAACAGTGATGAAACTTTCACCCTGAAAATGCACACTCTAGTACAGTAGGTGGCGGTATGCACCTATTCAAGTTGGTTGCGATCCGCCAATCAAATTTAAAGAAGAAGAAGAGATACCTCAAATTTGTGAGAATAAGTTGGAATAAGTAATTGTAATAATGGAATAAAACAACTATAAACATTTATATAACTAATAAAATCAAATAAGAAATTGTTGGAATTCAAAGGGTATTTAAATGTTATGAACTACAATACCATGCAGTACATGACTTGTGCATCGTGCAAACTATTTTAATGGTAATATATGCTACAGTCTTATACATGCAGAAAACGGTAAATCAAAATGATGAGATACTATTATATAATTAGGAGGTAATGGTTGTAGAAAACACACTAATGTCGTGTTTTTGTTTCAAGTGGCAGAAATGAACGAGTGCTACTGTAAAGATATTTAGTTAATCCTCCATGCCGGTAGGCGGCGCTGTGTCGAGCGCACCGCTGTAGATAATGCAGCCGTACCTCCCCTCTGCACTTCGTCTGTCGTCGCCGCATGGGCAAGCGGATGAAGAGACCAGCGTGGTACGCAGAGAGTTGAGTGACGCCGTTGTTTGTACGCTACAGTTTATGTCTTCGTATATTTAATTCATCGAAATGACTGAAAGTAAAGCAGGGACGGCTCCTAAGCCGGCCAAAGAGCTGCTGGCTTTGAACCCCAAACAAGAGTCCGAGTTCAAGAAGAAGGTGCAAGAGGCGAAGAAGAACAAATCTAGCAAGGTGGGTCGAGAGGAAACAGTGGCCCTGAAGGAGCCACGGATTCACGCAACACGAGGGTGCTATTTCTTTATTGATTCCTCAGCGGCTTCTTACCGTAGGTACACTTTATTCCGTCACCCGTCGGATTGTGGGACCTAATTAGACATTTCAGCTATCGTGAATTGGCATTCAATATATCGAAGTGATATCTCTCAAAGATAATGGAGAGCTTTTTTTCTTTTTTTACAACGTTGTCGTCATTATTTAGCCACAGTCCGGTACTTTTAACATGGTAACGGTTATCTTCATGGTATTTATATTCGACAGGGTTATACACTTTGATGCAGGCCGAAGCAGAAACTGGGTCTGTCTGTAAAGCTACCGTTCAACAATTCACACCGGAACACGTTTATTTTTGCCGTTTATCCCCAAAAATATATATATGTAAATTAAAACAATCTATTTACATTATTTGGAGACAGTAGGTTAATTCCACTGCAGACATTAAAACACGCACAGGTGCTACTAATGACACTACAGCTCTGTTCTAGTGAAGTACTCAGTAAGTCATGACCATGCGAGAGAGTGCACGTGCACCGGGAACCTGAAACCTGAAGCAGCTTAATGGAACTCAGCCATCCATTTTATTATTTACACATGCGACATGTAATGAAAAGGCCTAAATCTCTTTACAACTCAGTTGAAATGTACAGACATGGCATCCATGGATAACTGATCATTGCATTTCATCACACAATGTACAAGTGTTCATTTATTTCCTATGTAACTTCTATGTTCTTCTACAGGGGGGGCATTTGGACCCTGGAGTGGTTTATGTGGGCCACCTTCCACACGGGCTGTTTGAACCTCAGCTCAAGTCTTACTTCGAACAGTTTGGGAAGGTCCTGAGGCTGCGGCTGTCCAGGAGTAAAAAGGTAGCACGGCTGAAGACTACATAGGCTCCACAAACATGTGGGACACCTCAAACAGACTGTGTTCTCATAATATAACAACAACTACACATATTTTTCTTAGTTTACTATCCTGTGCATTACACCTAATGCGATAGTAGAGATGTAGATTTTTCCGGTTTGCTCTGATGACATGTTGGAGAAAGCAGTTGACATCCTGCTGAGGTTTGGCTCACTGAAAATGACCTCAGATGTCACAGTGGTCTGAGGTCAGATATCTGAGCCCAAAGTATTGTGGTGCATTAAGCTTATCTCCTGCTCAGCCATTGGCAGAGCGATAAAACCCTTGTACCCACAAAAGATCAAATCATTTGTAAATATTCTGTCACGATATGTTATGTTTTCTGGTAATATATAATAACAATAAATAACTAAATAGTCTAGGAAATAACCACATGATAAGCCTATTTTTTATAATCATGTGTGAATGAAATTGACAATGAAAACAATACCGAGTATTTTTTAAACTTAATTAGGAACTTTCGTGCAAAATGAACAAACTCTCAAGTGAAATTATGTCAAAAATATTTCCATGTCTGTTTACATGCATGCTCACAAATACAGGCTAATCGGGTTAAGACTATAATTTGATTTAACTACACTAGTCTATTTCCTGAAGCAGAAATTGTATCGATTCACGTTTGTGCTTGTTGTTATCAATTTATTTGATTTATCTTCATCACAATTTGAATCCTTTGAAGTCGATAAATTACCACGTTGAATTGTCACCCAGCCCTCGCTTATTCAAATGCAGATGTTGGGTGTGAAACTATTGAGGTGCATGTGATGTTCACCCTTTTTTCCGTCTGTTTGTCTCAGACAGGTGGAAGCAAAGGCTATGCATTTATAGAGTTCGACTGTGACGAAGTAGCCAAAATTGTTGCAGAGACCATGAACAACTACCTCATGGGAGAGAGACTCATCAAATGTGAGTATGGCTCACGTTACCAGCATGATTAACGGGCTCAATCAGAAAAGATATGATCCGACAGATCCCCGCAGTGCCATGATGGAAATAATAATGAAATGAATACGAAATGACAACGGTAAAGATAGACGATAGTTTATACCCATGTACTCACTGATGACTGTTCCCTAGGTCACCTGGTCGCACCAGAGAAAGTGCACGAGAAGCTGTTCGTCGGCTCCCAGAGGGAGTTTAAGAAGCCATCACTTCCTGCTGTGGCCCGCTACAACAAGACCCACACAGAGGAGGAGGTGACCAAGATGAAAGACAAACTGCTGCGGAAAGAAGCCAAGCTCCGCAAGAGACTGGCAGCACACGGCATCGACTACGACTTCCCTGGATTTGTAAGTGCTTTGAGACCGAGATGATGACTCGACACGGCAGCTGCTGTGTTTATCTGAGCTAGACAAAAATAAGTCATCCCTGGAATGACAGTCAACCTTGCAACTCTCTTAATATCGGCCCTTGGAATCTTCACATCAGAATAAAAGTAAATGTCTTCAAAATGTTGAAATGTCATGCGAGCGGTGATAATTGATACCCTCTTCCATCAAATCCGAGTTTTCTATGCGTTCAACATTGTAGAGCTATTCTACTCGTATCTATTCTTTGTTTGGTTGGTGTCAGTTTGACCTTTATTGCTCCGTTTGTGTTCCCAGGCCACCCAGGTGCCCCAGAAGAAGAAGTCCTCTGATTCCATGGAGGCGTCGACGTGTAGCGATGTAAGGCAAACACTCTTATTTATCTTATTTATCTCTTGGCTCAGACTGAAAATGACCCCAGGTGAACCAGTGATCTGGGGTCAGATTACTGCGCCTATAGCACTGTGGTGCATTAAGCTTATTGCGTGCGTCTCCTAGTGGCTGCGTGATAAAACCCATGTACCAACACTGTATGGAAAATCAAAGATGTATTATTATTGCATTCTTCTTATTCCATTCTTATTATTATTATTATTGCATCTTTATTACTATTATGGGATTATTAGTTACTCGGGCTTCTCTCTCGTCTCTCTATCAGTTACGAATATCACACACTCATAGACAAACACGTGTGCCCTGGTATAGAAACGACTGCTTTGTGTATTTGTAATAACAGTACTTTGGATTTATAGTTATTATTTTTGCATTTTCTTAGTTCCAGTGCATCCCGATAAGTTTTATGTGCCTGCCCCTCGCACCAGTAGGAAAAAGATTCAAGAGTAAAACAAATCAACCCCCCCTCCCTCCGTACCAGAATGAGCATCTAATGAGCTCCTCTTGTCCATTTCAGGACACCACGCCAGTCTGCACCCCCTCCGTCCTGGAGAGGAGGAAGTCCATGGTCGTCGTCGATGACGACGACGATGATGAAATCATCATTAAGATGCCTCCTATAGTGAAAGATGAAGAGTGCTCCTCGGAGGAGGAGGAAAACGTCGATGGCTCTGAGAGCGAGGAACCCGCTGAAGCGGACGCAGAGTGAAAGTCCTCACTGTGTTGTCGGTGACTTGGGTCTCTGGCTGTCACGGTACAGCTGCACACACCAGGCTCACCTTTGAACTGTGTTCAGAAATCCCAGTGCGTCTTTCAGTGTGTGGAAATCCCACTACATTTGAGGAAGACGCCCCTATGAAAGTTTCCACCATAACTGTGGGTACCACAGTAGTGAGTACCGTGGGGGAGCTTGCGAAACCATCACAGTGAGCCTGAGTAACGGGCCAGTTCTGACTGGACTTCTTTGACAAATGTGTATTTCAGTCTTGGAGCAGGCGGCTTCCTTTGCCACACAGGGCCCTAATGTTGATGCAAAACAGGCATTTTTACTTCGTCATGCACACTTGTCTAACAGCGTGGTTAAATTTGTACTATATAAACTTATGATCATTCTAAATAAATGTGAGAATGTACAATCCAAAGAGGTCCTCTTGTTGTTGTGGTGTTTTCTTTCAGAAGAACAAGCTAATAGAAAATCACTCGCATACACACTAGCAGAGCAAAAAGGCGTTTCGACGTGTCATTGTAGGAAATGCATGTGTAAGTAAAATAAATGAAGTGAATCTGGCTGCTTCGGTTTCTGGGTTCTGATATTGTCCATCGTTATGTTATTAGGAACACCTGTGCCAGTAATGTCTGCCAGTTCATCAGTGACGCAATATGAAATTCTGCAATAATAAAAATTGTTAGTTTCCACAACCCAATGGAAATGATTGTAGCATTAACCCTGATTGAATATGCTGATTCTGTATATTACTGCTTCACATAATGGGCAATATGTAAGACAGCAGTACAGTGTAGTCAGGTGATCTGGTTGTGGAGATGCTAGTCCGACAGTGTTTGTTGGTCTTGGGGTCATTATGTAATTTGACATTAGAAAGGAATACTTGATGTATAGTTCATGTGAACAGTGTTTTGGGGGGCCCAGGGCATCTTTTCCATACATCCGGAGATATAACGCTAAAGAGCCACTGAACCTCTAACTCCTCACTTTTATCCTTCTGAATACAACAGTTACAGTGAAAATGTAAACGCTGCTCTACCATTGCGCTGTACACGCATCACTGGCCCCAGGTGTCCAGTAGATGTCGCTAGACGTCGAGTTATACACGCCAACGTTTCTCTTTTTTCTTGCATTGCCATGCGACAGTTTTCCAAGTGCCAACATCATCCCTGGATCGAGTGCGCCTGCGCACGACGATCCCATTCTTGTCCTGCAGGCAGCATTCAGGGTGGAGAGTGAGAGAAAGAGAAAGGCAGAAGATATTTGAGGCCGGAGACGGCACATTTAAGCCGAGAAACGCGAGCTGAATGTCCGAACCAGCGGCGGCGTTTCAGCAGGATATGGTGAGTAGGAGAATAGGTGTTGTGGGTCCACCTCCTCGCCTCCTTGTCACATTGTCTTCTCTTTGTGCTGCCCTGTCTGAACTGACGTTTCATTGAGAGGAAGGGCTTCGCTAGGGGCTAGCTTTAGCCTTTATTCCCGAAACACACCTACTCTGTCTGCTACAGTGGAAAAGGTTGGCCAGCTGTTTCAGAGAGAAACAAAGGAAAGGAGTGCTTCATGGCCGCGGGGTAAATTCCAGGGAGCGCGTTTGTTTGACGTGAGCAGTGTCTAGTGACGTTAGCTGTCAGAGGCGCTCCTTGGGTTGGCATAGCTAGCAGTGATGGTCGGGCTCTGGGCTAGCTGGAGCTCAGCTAATGTAAAAAATAAAAAAAGCAGAGGGGTGTGTGCGCGTGCGGGGAGTGTGCGCGTGCGTGCGTGTGAGACAAGACAGACACAAATGTGCTCCATGATGAATGGCTTGTCAAAGGTGAGAGTAGGTCTGATGTAAATTAAACAAAGAGTGTTAAATATTCATGTAATTTTAATAATTACATAACGATGCTATAACACAATTAAATGTGAATTACACGTACTGCATTTTCATGGATTAGATTTAACAGCTCGAAGAGCTTCATCATTATAGACCGCATACATTATTACATACATCTATTACACTCAGTCAGGTGCAGTTTCTTCAGCATTTACTTCCTTACACACACACTTAAATGTCAATGCATACATACATGTTGACGCATGCTTATACACATGCATACAGTCTGTTATATCGGCTCTGTTTTAATCTGGTATGTTTCATCTGCTCATTGCTTAGCTGTTTTTTGCAATATATATTATTTATTGAAAACAGTGTTAAATATATGACATAACAATAAACATGTAGATGCCCATTTTCAATATATATATTTTTAAATAGAAAATAAAATTGTGAATAAGAAACACAACCTAGGACTCATAAAAGTGGGAGAAAAAACAACCCAAAACATTCCCACACATCACCCTGGCTTTTTGTAGAATAAGGAGTGCACACACACGTCACAGAATGAAGCAAACCAGGCCTGTATAGGTTGTACAGCTGTGTTAACTATAAAATTCAAAATAACCAGAGATGGGGGCTGCAAATTAGCTTCAGCTATTGAGCCGTCCTTTCTGGTAGATAATGTTGTCACACAGAAAGCCTGGGGCTGTTTGAAAGGAAGCAGCGTAGTCGGCATATGATCGAGCAGTTTGGAACTGCAGCAAATAAACAGCACAGGGACGTCCTTGTGTCTTATTTGGAGTTGCTACTGAAGCTCGGCCCCTGAGGTCCCAGGGCAGTGGTGGGCTGACGAGCTGTCAGAGATGGAGGGGGGGGGGGGGGGGGGGGGGCGGCGGGGGGGGGGGGGGGGGTGGTTTTTTTTGTTGGGTCATTCTGAGCCTCGAGTCAACTGTCACTTTGTTTTTGAACGTTGATTACCCTAAAAGTGTTGATTATAATCTATTCCTGAAAGTAGATGAGTTTGTGAAGCTGCACAGGTTGTAACTTGTCATCACTGACTGCTGGGTGTGGTTCGGCCATGTTCTCTTATTCAACAAATATTACCCCAAAGTACTGGGGACTTACTTACAACATGGCCAAAAGTACTTGGACACCCAAACCTAACACCTTTTATGTCTCTCTCCAAAACTCTGAAAATGAATCTGCTGATAAAACAGCCTCAACTCTTCAAATACGACTCTTCACGAGATTTCAAGCCGGCTGCAGAGATGTGTTAGTTATTATTGTTAGTTCAGCTACTGGAGCGTTTGAAATGTCGGCCACTGATGTCGGGTGAGCACAAACAATTTATCAACGAATTGATTGTCTGTCGATCAATCGAAACATTTGATTTTTTTTTCATCATCAATTTACACATGATTTAAGCCTTTTTTAAAACATTATCTGGCTTCAGCTTTCTAAATATGAGGATTTTTATGTGATTGTGAACTGAATATCTTCTCTTTGAAATGTTGGTTTGACAAAACAAGTGATCTGAAGACATCACCATGGCCACTGCGGAGAACGCAAGGACATTTCTTTTCAATTTTCAGACCATCAAATGGTTAACAAAAATAATGGCCAGATAAGATGAAGATAAAGAGGTTTTTATTGTCATTGTAGTGATACGACATTTCGTTTGGTAGCCCTCAGCCAGCCAGCAGCAGGGAACAACAGCAACGATAAACAATATACAAGATGAATCCATAATGAAAATAAAAGTATAATTGTATGTAGTGGCATCATGATTTTTTGCAGACAAGAGGAGCAATATACTTTTGGCTACATATTGTAAAACACTGTCAGTTTTCTATTAGGTGAACACTCTCTTTTTACCGTTAAATCAAAAATCTGAAAGTCATTTAGAGTGATGCATTGTGATGCACCAGGAGGAATTGACAATGACGAGGGTTTCTGATGAACTGACTGCTGTCTGCTGTCCTCTCTGCTCCTTTAGGGCTCTCCAGGGCAGATCCCGGGACAACAACTGGAGCTCTAAGCTAGCCCTCTCCATCCATCTCTGTTTGCAGCCCTGCACGCTGCTTGCCAAAACCACCTCTTCTACCCCTGCTATAGTGGTTTGACCCAGACTCCTTTAAGAGAAGAAGAGGGGGGAAAAAATCCCAAGTGGGAGGGAATAGTAAACTTTCCCCAGCTGCTGCCCAGACACACACATGCTGCATTGCCGCCATTCCCCAAGCCCTGCTCCATCCATCCCTAGGGCACGGCCACAAGCTCGCTAGCTAGCTAGCTAGCTCTTGGCACAAAGACGAGGCCTGTCCTCAGGGGTTAAAAATACAAGCAGACTGTGTACACTTGCCTCCTATCTTTTTTTTCCTCCCTTTTCCGGGTCACACAGACAAACACTCATTAACTGGGGCTCCTTTTGTTTAGCCGTCGTTCTCGCTGCTTTGAGCAGTGGGGCATTGCTCGCAGCAACAAGCCAGCCAGCCAGTCAGTCATTCAGCCAGGCAGACGGAGGAAGACAGAAGGTACCAGAGGCCAGCATGATGGAGCCTAGTATGGAGAGCTGCCTGGTCCAAGTCCTGCAGAAGGACATGGGCCGCCGGCTGCAGGTGGGGCAGGAGATCATTGATTACATCTTGGACAAGGACAAGTCCCACGACCTGGAGCAGGATCAGACAGCGCTGGACAAGATGGTCGACGGCATCGCCAGCTCCTGGGTCAACTGCAGCAACTTCAAGGTAAACAATAGGGATTAGGGAACAGTATCAAGTTGTGGGCAGGTTTCCACACACCTGCACCCACACTGGTTTAGGCGTTCACTATAACCAAATAGCTTTTTGATTCCCCATTTGCATTCTGTTTTAGACAAAAGCACATCACTGCACTCAGCCATCTCTGTGTGTGTGCACTTTTCATCCTCAATTGACAACTCATTTTCTGCAATTGGGGAATGACTCTATGTAAGAGGTCGTGTTTTGTTCAACAGACTGTTAGAATAGTTCAGTGTATGAGGAAGTGCCTGTGAGTTCAGTGCAGCTGTATGGTTTGACTCTCTGGTTCAGTCATGTAGCTGTGTTTTCAAACGTCCACACAGGGCTGAACATCGACAGCTCCTCTCACATAGGTCTCCTGGGGGGGCTGCTTTGTTTATCCAGTTAAACACTCATTCCACCACAGCACCAAAGTCCGCTCTCAAATTCAACACTTAAAGGGACTTAAAGTATTTATCAGCTATTTTTAAGAAATCCACACAAACCACTCTTCACATCAGCATGAATCAGAGCACACGAAGCCAAATTCCCTACTAACTTACACTATGACCTGTTACAGCTATGAAGCAGTGGAGCATTTAAAAGACCAGTCCGACGCACTGCTCACTCCACTTAAACCTCACCGGGGCTACAATGCATCACTTACAGCCGTAGACTGTGTATAAGAAGTGGACGTAGTCGCCGTGACACCACCCATTGGTTTGTGGACTGCTGTTTTGAAGCCTTGAGTTTGGCATTTTGTCCGGCGCCGTCTTGGCTTTCGGTTGTCGCCATTTTGACTTTTGGCAACCCGAAGTGATACGAGAGGGTTGAGCTCAGTACAAC